TGAAATTAACTATAATAATACTCAATAAGTGTATTTTTTATTATGATAATCAGAAATTTATAACAAAAATTTACGATTTTTGATTGAGAAAAAAAATTACTAAATCAAAAATCGTAAATTTTTGTTTTAGTAATTTTTTTTCTTTAACTCAGGAGACAATAGATATAATCTAAAACTTTGTTTTAGATATTAACAAATTCTAAAAAAAACACACAGATAGCAAAAAAGAAACAAATATAACAATGTTCTTAGAAATACAGCAAATTGTTTTCATTTCAAAAGACGGCTGGCTCCATGAAGGCGGGAGGTCGTCTCGTCGCCTACGCCATATGACGTAAGCCGTAGCACTGCTACGAATATGTGATACAGGTATGGACTATGGAATATTCATCGTTAACACTTTTATATTAGTAAAAAGCTAAGATATAACTCATCGTTTGTTATACTTATAATTTTAGGCTTAAAAATCTTTCTATAATATAAAAATTCATTTGATATATTGGTTTGTACAAACTTTTCTCTATATTTTTCTCAAAATCCTATACTTATATATAACATAGTAATAAAATAACATATCTTTATGAAAACTAGTCAGTTTTACTGTCACGACGGGGATTTACTTCGACAGGATGGGGAAACTTGTTAGACATCCGGCGGAACGTTCGTGTAAAGTTAATTGGCGAGCGTGAAGCTTCGACTGGAGAACATCCGGTGTCTCTGTGCAGACTTCCGGTTAATTATCTGAATTTATTCCAGCAAATGACAAAACGTACACGTGTCTTGTATCTTATTGGATACATTTATTATTTCTCGTTAGTGACACATTATGACGCGACATATATCGCCTAGAAAAAAAAAACATATATGCTACCAACGCTTTTCCAGACAGTAATCTATATCTATACTTCTATGCTAATAGTAATCTATACTATTATAATATAATGATGTGTAGAAACACATTACTTCGTGGCGTATGATGTCAGTAATCACAGCATGTTTTTGAATAATTCTTTCTATAATTAAGACCCCTACACTTACAACATGCTTTAGGCTATTTCACGCTATTAAACTGAGTGGTGAATTGGAATAGAACCGTCATGTGGGACCATAAACTACAAGCTGCCAACATTAAGAAAGCAAAATTATTATGGTAACGGTAGTTGTTATCAAATGGCAAAGGCCTTCGTTGTCATTTCTGCATTTGAATTTCGACATTTGCAATTGAGAATTTGACAAATGTAAACAATAAAATAATTTCACGTGGATGAAGCCGCACGGGAACAGCCAGTTGCTTACAACTAAAATCAATTAAAAAACTTTTTATGTGCATATTTAGCTATCTGACCGCAAGTACGAATTTTTTCCCAGTAATCTCTGAAACAGCTGACTTAAAAGTCACTTTTACTAGAAGGTAGCTTATGTTTGCGGAGTAACTTAACCAATTATTATGCTGTTGAAGTTACATGTTACCGGTAAACTATAAAAGGATTTGAAAAAATAATATAAAACGTTGAAGTCAGTAATTTATTAAGTATAAGAAAAAAATATAAAAACTGTGCCAAAAAGAGTACGGACCAAGAGTCTGTAGATGTAGATTTAAAAAAATTGAAAACTCAAAATGTGATGACGAAATAGTGAAAATTTTCTTGGATAAGAAATTTTATAATTATTTTTAACTTACTTTAGAAACATATTTGGCAGTAAAAGGTAGCAGTTAGTAATAATACGAAAATCTCGACATAATGAAATTCAGAATTCTCTCGAATGTTGTCTGGAGTTCGCAAATAACATAGATGAGACCATATTTTCCAAGGTTCTATCGATTTCTTTGTATGTGTGTGTGTACGTAGGTGTTCAGGTTTCACACAACAATATCTATGACCTTACGCCATTTCGCTGAAATCTGTACGAGGTGTAACGGGTGAGGGATGGCGCGTCCAAAATGCAGCGCGCGCACACTTCGTTCATTGGCTAAACAACTGTTGCATGGCCGCCACGGAGAGTTTAAAAGCTCGCCCGGGCTCGAAGCCCTCATCAGTTCTACTGAAGCTCTCTAATCAACATGTAAGAAGTAAAGGAAAAACGCTGTCTGTTCAGTTTTAAACTATTATTTTTTATCTCCTGCGTTGCCAAGTTAATTTGATTCTTATCACCTGAGTTTTAAGGTTTAATTTGAAAGTATACCTTTGTTGATTAGAATATTTTCATGCAAGTGAAGCTGCTAGGATGAGATAAATGAAACCAGACACCTGTACAAGTAAGTAACTTTTTATTTTTTTTTATTTTGCCTTTTTTATTTCATTATTATTATTTTTAATCGTCCGTTTTATAGATTTTTACTAGTGTTTGAAGATAATGGCAGCTATCTTATTTTTTAAATTTTATTTAAGCAAATAAAATGTTTTCTGTCTACCTTTATCGCGCTAGCGGTTATTTTCAAGAGGTTTCGACCTACCACAAGGCGTACTTTGTTAGCTTACGAAATACATCAAAGGGCGGGCGGCGAGAAATACATTGAGCCTTAAAACGGAGCCCGTCGGCATTTGTTTCTGATTATAATTGCTTTCTTTCTAAAGTACGTATACCAAGTACACTTTGGTATACTTTTTAACGTCATTTATCATAACTTTCTAACGATGAAAATTAATAGAATAACGCATTTCTAAATAAAGTTAAAAAATAGTAAAGAATTTTTTTTTATGATTTTTAAAAACAGCGCTTGACCACAATCCTATCTATAGTTAAGTGGTAATGTGGTCGAAGCGGTACGCGCTAATTTAATATCAATTCATCCTTGTAAATTTACTAATGTAAAAAATAACCTATAAAAATGTAATCCGAAAATAGTGCAAGATTAAATATAATTATCAATTAAAGTATAAAATTTGTCAGAAAAATTTAATATTCCCGTTTTCTTAATAAATAAATCTCACTGTAACTAATAACTAAATTTCAATTGAAGTGTAAATCAAAGTTCGGCGTTGAATGTTTGTAGTTCCGACGGCAAACATTTTGATTGAGGGGAGAGAATATTAAGCAAGATAAAATACAATGAGTTTATCAGAATAAAAATAACTTAATCTTACTTCTTACTAATATTATAAATGCGAAAGTTTAGATAGATGGATGGATGTTTGTTAGAGTTTGTAGCCTAAATGTTGAACGGATTTCAACACATAGGCTATTAATTTTTGTTTTTTTTTAATTCCCCGAGGACGGAGTCGCGAGCGAAATCTAGTGTAGAATAAATTTCATTTTTTTTATTTATTGCAAATTATATCAAGTATTTTTTTTTTTTAGGAAATATACTCAAGTACCATACGGGAACATAAACGAGGATGACATTATTGGAGCGGCAGTCAAATAAAATTTACTGACATCTTTAATAAGATCCAGCTTCAATGGAAATATCAACATCAAATTGAAGACATGATAACGGCCAAGGCAACCAAAACCATCGAACAGGTATCAATAATAAAATGGCCACTTGTTCATTATTTTGTGTTCCCAGTTAATATTTACTTAAGTTTGATGGAGATTTGTTTCAATATTTATTCGTTTTCTAGTATATAAGAATAGCTATGTTAGTCATAACTGTCGTTACACCTGTTTAGGAATTTGCTATCTTTTATTTTTGAAAGAAAATAATAGGGGCAGCATATCGTTGCTATACAGGTGTAAGGACAGCGTAACCTCACCTTTAGTTATAAGATAAGCTAGGAACCAGACTCCAATGTGTCCGAGAAGGTAAGTAAGAGAATCAAAGCGAATCTCTTGTATTTCCGATATTTTGTAGGGATCTATTTGTGCTTAAGCCACTGTTTGCGTTAATGTTGATGACATGTACTGTTATAGCGAGTCTTTATTTTGTTTAGAGAACTTTAAATGTCTCCCAGTCTTAATCCTACACCCGTAGGGTTGGCGCAAAAGGCTTTCGATCTTAACCCTTAAC